GGTTTGGCCCATTTCCGTCGGCCTCACGAACTCACTTCCCCCCGCATGGAACAGGAAGGGTCCCTACGTGGACGAGTGGGTACCTGTCAGCGAATCCTTGCCCTCCAAGACATCCCACTCCACATCTGCAACTACCTCGTCGTCATCGTCTTCGCTGTCTGTCTCCTCCCCTCGCTCCCATGCCTGTTATTTCTACTGTTTCTTCTTCCGCTTGGACTCTTCATCTTCCTCTACCACTCGGCTATGGCGCGGTTGGCTGCCGCCACGAACTTGTCTGTCGGCAGCGGAGCCGGGCAATCCATAAAAACAAGTTTCTTCGGCTGGTCCCGCTGTCCCAATGTCAGCACCAAGGGGGCAGGAATTCAAGTAAAAAGGAGGCACGGGGAAAAAGAACTTACGAAGTCGATGAATCCAGTTCGGCAGCATTGGGGATGCCCCCGCACCGGATACACAAAATCAAGGATGATGCCGGCGTTGTCCTTCGAAGGCTCCATCGCCTCCTTGATGCGCGTTGCACCACTTCGGAGGGGGCAAGCGCTTCGTCGACAAGCGCCATCCCTTCGAGCGACGCTCCAAGCACCATCTAATGCAGAGGAAGCGCGCACGCCATTAGCGGCGCCACCCTCCTCATGTGGTAGGCGCCGATGATCCCCAACCCCTTCACGCCCCTCTCCTTCAGAATTTGAAGGGTGGCGAGATGGTCCTTGATCTTCTTCTTATCTTTGTCCAGGACACCCCACTTCTATGACTCCGGGACCTCTTCATTGATGCGCCCGAAGAACGCAGGCAAGGGGGCGGCAACGTCGTCCTTGACGTAAAACCAATGCGAATGCCACCCCTTGTTGGAGGTCGATAGATGCATCGATGGGTATTCGTTCACCTGGTTGTTACGGAGATGAATGCTGGCACATCCCACCGGCATGCTGAGCTCTTGCTTCTCGGCTCGCTTCTTCAGAAGGTTGATGGAGAAGAGATACCGCCGCAGGTCGAAGTGGGGATCAATCCCCAAGAATCCCTCACACAGGGCGACAAACGCAGCAATGTGCTGGACCCCATTGGGAGTAAGGTGTTGTAACTCCACCTTGTAGTAATCCAGCAGCCCCCGAAGGAACTTGTGGGCGGGGGTGGCGAATCCCCGCTCGTGAAAACGAGCGAAGGACACCACGTAGCCTTCGGGCGGCGACAGCTCATCCTCATCACCGGGCAGCCGCCACTCCTCAGCGACGGTCAGCAAGCAAAGGAGGCCACGGTGAACGAGGCCCTCCAGGCGTTGAGGGGTGATGTCGGATCTGCACCATGGCTCCATTGAACGATTGGGAGGGGGGTGGATGCGAGCTTGACGATGGCTGCGATGCAGATGCGAGCTTGACGGCGGCTGTGATATAGGTGCGGAAGGCTCAGGCGATTGGCGGCAGAGGTTGTAGATGCAAAGGCGAGGAGGCAAAGTACGGAACCCTGGGGGTGAACCCCTTGGTTTTATAGGGGCGACAGATGCGAGAAGAGCAACCGCCCGCCTAGGTCTCCGAGCCTACCACGATACACCACCGCGTCACGTCATGGGATATGCGCTCGCGATCCCTATCCTCTCCCACCAAAATCGCGTTAGACGTTTCGCCTTCCCAAGCAGACCAGGACTCTTTTCCCCACGGAGGGATACAGGTCAAAAAAGTATTTCTCCAGCCCACCTGGGCCTAGGAGTTCGAGGGCAAGCCCAACAGTTTCTACGGCCATCCCAACGAGGGATGGGCCCGCAAACGGCCAGAACTCAGGCGCACGAGCCTCAAAGAAGCCTCAATCCGCAATCGAGTCCCAACCGGGCTGACCCTGGACGAATCCCCGCGAACGGAATACCAGGGTTTCCTTTAAGCTATCCAATTGTCAAAACACCAAATCTCATAGTCATACCCACGAAGGGTCCGAAATACCCCCCGGACGATTCTGTCCGAATCACCCGGGGGCTCGGGGGTTACACCCTATGGGTGCGCTCGCGCGCACCCTCTGGCGAATCAAAATACCCCTCGGGTGATTCTATCCGAATCACCTGGGGCCTCGGGGGCTACTGTCGGGGACCTAATACCGGGGTACCCAATGAGGTGGAACTAATAACCATCGAATGTTGACGCTTTCGGTCAGACAAGAATTCTACTACACTTCTTGCCCGAACGACAGAAGATTGGTTCCGCCTCGCCCGACCCCCCGAGGCAGCCCCCCGATGGCTGAGGGCTGGCTCTGCCTCGCCCAACGTCTGAGGGCAGGCTCCAGAGCCTACCCGACGGCTGAGGGCTGGCTCCGCCTCGCTCGACGGCTGAGGGCAGGTTCCAGAGCCTACCCGACGGCTGAGGGCTGGCTCCGCCTCGCCCGACGGCTGAGGGCTGGCTCTGCCTCGCCCGACGTCTGAGGGCAGGCTCCAGAGCCTGCCCGACGGCTGAGGGCTGGCTCCGCCTCGCCCGACGTCTTCACCCTGCCCCTTCATAATAACGAAGCACAAGGTAAGACGGGACACTCAGGTCAACCGCAATACCGAGGACCATGCCCTGCGCACCTGCGAGAGGGTACCATCAGGATACGACGGGACGGGTGCTTTAAGCCCTCTCAGGCATGGCAGAGCCTAAATAGTGTTGTAGGCGCCGACTTTTGTCCTACAGTGTTGTGGGCGCCGCCTTCAGCCCTCGGGCGTGGATCCTAACATGAGCATACAACAACCACTACAATTCAAGAGGGAGCTCACGTCATCAATAGTAACAAGCGTGTAGTGACTTCCCCATCTACTCCTCGTAGGGTCATGGCTCGGCACCCTTACACACCACACCGTCCGTCGGGGGAGGATGGGACGTGACCACTCACTGAAACGAAGCCAGAGCCCGGCCCTATCAGGATCAGCGAAACACACTATCCCTGGTGTGGTCTGCCATGCCAGCAGGGCATGCTCAAGGGAAAACAAAGACCCGGCACCTTCGAAGGACCTTCTCTACCTTTATTTTTTTCCTCTTTCTCCCATCTACAATCCCTGCTCCCCCTTGTCTATAAAAGGGAGGGCAGGGCACCCCACTAAAGAGACGGATCGATTCCGCAAACAACACACAGCCAAACAGCAACCGAGCTCTTGGCATCCTTTCGACCTTTCCATCAGAGACTTGGGACCTGTCCCACTCTCGGCCGTTTGTACCCCCTACTACGAACCTTTTTCGGTACTAATAACACGAATAGCAGCAAACTGGACGTAGGGACATTCAGCCCGAACCAGTATAAACCTTGTGTCCTTTAGTACACCATCCGAGCCTAACGCGTAACAAATATAAATTTACTAGTTGATGTTTGTTCGAAGCACCGACAAAACAATACCTAACTCGTTGGTAATCTGCTGGATGCAATTTTTCATACCTGTAGAGGATGTCAATTTGATATACTTCACGTGCCACGTAGGGCAGTGGTTAGTAGATACATATCGCATAGGACGTTTGACATTGTCGTAGAACTGTCTGCTTGACGGTGACAGTGCAAGTTGATGCAGTGTAGATTAGATACAGGTAGAGGTAGCAGATCCGTTCCGCTAACAACGTTAGATGTCGACGTCGTCGAAGTAGTCGCGGCAAGGACGTCATCACAAAGTATCGGCGTCGAAGATTGGCGGTGGCTTCAACGGCAATGTCGACGTAGAGCTTGTCGTGATGATAACGTGTTATAAAACATGTTGTCAACGGTTAGGAACTTTCCCTCTCCGTCTCTCATGATCAACATAGTACAAGAAAGTAGAACACATAGACACAAGAGATAGAGAGAGTATTCTTTATTTCTCTGAATATCCGTGCTTACAACATAGAGCTCCCACGTATATATAGTCATGTCAAGATTTAAAAGTTTAGTAAGAGCTCACGTACAAACGGACTAGGATTATGATTTATCCTTTTCCTTTTCTTTTAGGATAGAATCCATATGTTTTACAACGATAAGTTCCTTTCCTGAGAACATTCGTGTAATTGCCGCTAACGATCAGTTAGCGTTTGAGTAATGAATATCCCAGTTTTTTTTTTAAAATAAAATCCACTGAAGCACGTGCGTTATCCCCCTGTAATTTCGAGGGAAAGACTAGTGCAAAATAGAGTTGATGCAACACCAAATAACCGTAATTCCCTCCAACCGCTTTTTTTCAACTAAGATCTCTAAATATTCCAATCATCTATTTCTTATTTCGCTCTCCAAACTATCGAACAAGATATAGAGAAAGTTGTTGAAAGATATCGAGAGAGAGCGATTTTTATTCAAATATCTCTCCAAATGAGAACTTACAGAGTAGATTAAAAAAGAATGTTGGAGATGCTCTTGGACACTAAAACAACATTCTAAAGGTACTTTAGAATTTTTCTAAAACAGCATCATTGTTTGGCACTCCCACAGTTCCAATTAAATTCTAAGTCTTTTTGGATTTTTTTTTATACATATTGTCTGTTTGTGTATTGCTATGTATTCAGACATACGCTATGTCTAAATATATAGCTAAGCGAGTATAATTTTAGGATTATTCTAGGTTACATGGATGCCGGGATGCCGGCTAGTGCTCCGCTTTAGATGGCCCTCATCTCCTTCCAATTTAATGCCAGAGCTTGAGAACATTTCCCTCCTCAAAACAAAAGTCACCGTAAAGCTTTTGCCGGTGTACAAGGAGAGGAAACTGTGTTCCGAATTTAGAAATTGCTAAGGACCACCATTACTGGATATCACTTTTGCATTAATAATGTAATGTAATGGTACAAAAAATAAAATGGTCTTTGGCAGATTTTTCATATGGTCGGTTGTGGGCCCAAGCTCCACGTTTTTCAGCCAAATAGTTTTAGCTGCACGCACTCTGTTCGATTAAAAAAATGTGGAGTTATGAGCACCAAAAGAGGTGCTCCACAGACTCCAGTTTTCTGTGGAGCTGCTCCATGATGGAGTTTGTAGAGCAGTACCAAACACCCCCTTAGAGCCAAGTAGAAAAATGCAAAACTCCATTGCTAGCCTTGTTAGACTTCCTCCACCTGTAAAAGAATTTTTTTACATGTTGTCATTCATTACTAATTCAAACAAGACTAATGGTAGATTTATTTACTATAATGCGCAGATAGTAGTAGAGAAACCCTTGTGTGTTTCAGCCTTCCAGGCAAACTATCGCTACTTAAACTAGAAGCATCGAAACGAAGTGGGTATCTGTTTTGTTTAGTCAGAATAGCCAACAAGAACGCCTGTTCTCATGATCAAAACATTGTCGCTGGAACACAATAATAAAAGAGACAGACAACACATGAAGAATGATTTCAGGAGAAGACAAGTTTGTTTTTCTTCTTTTAAGACTATGTGGTTGTTTAGACAAATTGCTTGATTATTGTTTCAATTTTACAAGTTAAAAAATGTGAAGCCACTAGCCAAACACAACAATTTAAATAGAGCAAGGATCCGATGGCTGTGCTTGTGAAACAAAGTACTCCAGTTTCATTTGGTAGTCTGTAAAAAAGGGGCGTACCCAGTGCAGAGAGCTCCGCTCTGTGCGGGGTCTGGGGAAGGGTGTTAGTGGCAAGCCTTATCCTCGCCTGTGCAATGCGAGGAGACCGCGACTCGAACCCGGGACCTTCCGGTCACAGGCAGTAAGACTCTACCGCTTGCACCAGGCCCGCCCTTCATTTGGTAGTCTGTATGAAACTCAAATTAAATGGCATACCTGAGGAAGATTCATTAACTCCATAACCGCCTTATTTGGAGTTAATTCATTATCAATTATCCGTGCTACTGCTGTCAAGACTGGCATTTTGACCTTGTACTTCTGAGCCAACGCAATGACAGCCCCAGCAGTTGATACACCTTCAGCAACCTAAAGATAGATAAATGCACTAATTACAGATTGATTATACAGATGAGTAGGTGACATCTTCTACATAAACTGATGTCATGGAAGGAATTCTGCACACCTGGTTCATAGAACTCATGATTTTATCAAGCGTTTCGCCAGAACCAAGGCGTAGTCCCACAGTTCTATTCCGTGAAAGATTGACGAAACATGTAAGCATGATGTCACCAGACCCAGACAAACCAGAAAGAGTAGTTGGCTTTGCTCCCATCTTCGTTGCCAACCACCGTATTTCTGAACAGCCTTGAGCAACAAGGGCAGCCATACAGTTATTTCCAAGACTCATACCTTCCACTATACCTGCAGCTATTGCAAGAACATTCTTCAGGGCACCTGCAATTTCTACTCCTGTAACATCACTGAAGTATCATAGGTCACATTCAAAATATTTGCCTAATGTTTTCTCAAGTGTCACAGGTCACTGAAGTACCAGAACTGTCATAATCAAAATAATGAATCTCTACTAACCTAACTCCTAATGTGTACAAAATCATAAATAGTTATCAGTGGAAGAAACATTCATCACACTTCTTTATGTTAGTACGGTATATCATGTATAACCTATTAGTTGGGATAGTTTTAGCTGCACAAAAGTTTCTCAGGCAACAGAAATTCCCAAGATTGCTCCTAAGACTAATATTGAACTGTGTGGTAGCAAAGGAAAACTATTTCTTATGCTGAGCTGTTGAATGTACTAGTTGCAAATTTTAGATTACTAGTCAATTTAAGATGAAAATTGAAGAAAATCAATAAATTTTCCTTTATTGAATGTTGTTCTGGAATTCAGGTAGTAACACACACACTTTTCCCTTGTCTTAATAGTTCAGAAACTAATGCCATGCCACCGAATTTAAACTATAAGAACTTTTCTCTCTTTCTCATACAAAAAAAAAACCAAATAGTAAGAAGAGCAAACAAAAAAAAAATCCATGTTTCATTTTGTTCACGCATCTTCCACCTCATCTTCTTTCGCCCTGTTCGCTTGAACTGCTTATCAGCCATGGTACAGTGATTTTCTCTCACAACCAAACAGCATCAACCGGCTTATCAGCCGCAGAAACCATCAGCCGAACAGGGCCTACATGGCATGCACTTTTGCATTCATGCAGTTGTAGCTTGTTGTATCTTCTGTAATGAAGTCATGGAGCTAGGCAGTTTACCTTGATGTGCTTATCCTCAAATTTGGGGAAGCTAACAGTTGTTGAACAGAACTTGCCAACTTCTTGTCTTTGGATGCCACCACCATTGCTACAATTAAAAGTTGAATGACAATGAACTTCAGTCCAAATTGAGAGCTTGCATGTGCTTGATGAAAGAAAGAAATTCAAAGGCTAGTGAGCATCAAACACTAGTGGAATAGCTTGCACAATTGCATGGCTAGATTTCAAAATACAGTTGTATTTGTTGTACCACCTGATACCTATGGTTAAAAATACAGTTGCACGCCTGTACTTGCTTTTTGTTATGTTTTCAAGAAAAAAAAACAGTAGTTAAAAGTACAGTTGCATTTGCCATACAACATCATACAGTAAAAACTGGACCAAAAAAGATAAGCAGTGCAGAATCTCTGCTTTCGCTCCTGATTATGGAGAGTTTCTCGGAATTTTTTTGTCTTTTCTTTTCTCGGAATTTTCTGATTATTAGGATTGTTTTGGTGTCTTCAAATCCATCGTTTATTCTTTCATATACAGATATGTGAAGAAGTTTAAAGGAATACAGGTACAAATAACTCAGCATCAACATTAAGCTTGAAAAAAAGTGACATAACAGGTTAACAATATTAATAATATCAACAGACCTGTAGGCAATTTGTTCATTAACTCTGCAGCAAATGATGGTCCTGACAGAACAACAAATGGTTGGCGGCGATTTCCCAATGCTCGTGGGATGATTTTAGACATTGTCCGAAGGGTATTGAGTTCCAACCCTTTGCTAAGTGATATGAATGGCAACTTTGGATCAACATGTGTCGAAATACTTTCAAGAAAGGATGAACTGAACTGCCACAGAAAGTATCAGAGTCAAAAGGACGAAATATCTGCAACAAGCATAATGCTTCGTAAAGAACTGTGAATACCTGAACCGGAACAGCATGGAAGCAGAAATCAGCTCCTGCTAAAGCATCAGCAGCACTAGTTGTTGCGACAATATTTTCTGGCAATCTGTGTTCTGCTAAGTACTTGCTGCAGTAAAAAGGCAGAAGGTGTAATTCAGATACATTGTAATAGTGTTCACCAAACATAGTTCATGATGGGGCCACTCTATATAAGAAGGTGTCTGAAGCACTCTGAACACATTAGAAAATTGTTGTATCGTCTTTTCCTCCTTTTTGTGTGAAGCCAAATATTATGGTTATATATACTCATCTAGTACTATCATACATAAACTGTAATAAACCATCAATATATAGCATATTCATCTCAAGATCATGTCGCTGGTGAAATGGCTATATCGAAGAGAAAACAGTTCAGTTACAGCTTTTCATGCACTTTGTTCAAGTCAATTACTCAATTTAAACGAGATGAGATTTCCTTTCAAATTCTCATATGCATTGGAAACATTGCCCATACATTTTTGTACAACTATGCAATATGGACTCTGAGGAGTGAGGATGGGATGCAGCACAAATTGATGTACGGTAACAGCTAAGTGCACACAAAATTAGTTTTCCAAACCCGAAACGTGACATTGCCTAATTGGTCCTAATAAGAACACGATGATATCACTATGTCTGACGACCTGCCCTGCCCGTCGATAATCTGAGTATCTATTCGTTCAAGATGATCATTGAGTGCAAAAAGAACCTAAGAAAGTATTCTACCACATGGATCAAGAAAGAAGGCAGCAGAGGTTACCAACCAATTGACATGTCTGTTGTTGATGGACCGGCAGACGAGGTCGTCCCTGAGCAGCATTGCCACCTCTAGATCGGCCTTCTTGGCCGCCACATGAGCTGCCATGGCCGTCCCGAACGACCCTCCCCCGAGAACCACCACCTGCGAAACCGGCGAGGCAGCTTCTCTCAATCAGATCCTGCAAGGACCAAATCCAAGCCCAGAGAGTGCGTGGGCGTCTACCTTGCGCGTGGTCTCGAGGACGTCGCTGCGGTTGCGGCGGCGCCAGGAGCGGGACCACCGGACTAGCTTCTCCCACGCGATGCGCACCGCGTGGCGACGGTCCTTGCGGCCGCTCCTGCGTGGCGAGGCGCCGGCGTCGTCGTCGCTGGAGTCCTCGTCCTCCGGCGGCGGCACGGCGTCAGTGGCGCCGGTGAAGATGGGCGGAGGGCGGCGGACGGCGGCGGCGAGGCGGGGCCGAGGACTCGGGATGGAGGGAAAGAAGGCGGTGGCGGCGGCGGCCATTGGAGAATGGAGAAAGAACAGATTCGCGCGGCCTTGTTATTGTCGCTATCTTATCCGTTCCCGCCTTTCGCAGCTCCCCTGCTTCTCATTCCTTTTTTTTCATTCCACTCGAGTGATTTGGAGTCTTCTGGCCAATACAACGATGCCACATTGTCTTTCTCCTCGTGAACCGCTCCTTTGTAGGGTTTCCAACATGTTGTCTTTCTTCCTCATGAAATGCTCCTTTGATAGGATTTCTAATTGCTCGCCAGGTAGGGTTTGAGGGTTTAAAAGGATGGTTGGAGGCTCATCGGTGGCTTATGGACTGCTCCTTTGGTAGGGTTTCCAACTGCTCGCCAGGTAGAGTTCGAGGGTTTAGAAGGATGGTTGGAGGCTCATCGGTATAGATGTCCAACGGGCCCGCCCGGTTCGGCCGCACGCAAGCACGGCCCGTGCCGTGCATGGCTCGATGGGGTCGCCAAGACGCCCAGTTGAGCCGCAGTGCGCTTTCAGTATCTTGAAGTCGAGCACCGCAAGTCGAAGTCGAGCTGCGTCTGAAGCCGGGCACTGTGTCTTGAAGTCGAGCACTTATGCTCGACTTATGGCTCGAACACGGCTTTCTGGAGCGTTCGGGCCGGGCCGGCCCGAGAAGCACGAGCAATCCAGCGTGTCGGGCCGGCCCACGGCCCACGAGGAAGCACGACCTGAGAGAGAGAGGGGGAAGGGGAGGATCTGGCTTCGGACAAAGCTCGGGGCCGGCGAGCTCGCTCCTACGGCGGCCTAGGCCGGTTCCACGGCGACATCGCTCGAGGAGAGGGAGAGGTAAAGGCCGTCGGCGCTCCGAGGAGAGGAGAGGTCGCGCGAGGAGCCGAGGACGCCGAGAGAGAGAGGAGGCATCCCGGTCCCGACGACCAACGCGAGGGAATGGGAGGGGGCGTCCATGGCGTCGGCGCAAAGGTGAGAGACTGAGAGGAGGAGGAGCGAGTGCGAGCGTGAAACACAGCAACGTGGGGAGGTCGGGAGGGGGCTGCGGGGGGAGTACGGGAGGGAAGGGAAAGGGAGGGAGATAGGGAGTTACGGTTTGGGGTGGGGACTTAGCAGGCCGGCTGCCCGGGCCGCGCTCTGTGGACCGGGCCATGCCGTGCCAGCCCACGTGCCTGAGAAGCGGCTCAGGCACGGCTTGCTCCACCGAGCCCGGCCCACCCGGGCCCGCTGAGCATCGGGTCGTGTTGTGCTTGGGCCGGGCCAAAATAGCATGCTTCGTTGCCGTGCCGTCGTGCCTCGGGCTGCATGGACATTTATACTCATCGGCGCCCGGTAGGATTTTAAACTGCTCGCGAGGTAGAGTTTGGAGGTTTAGAAGGATGGTTGGAGGTTCATCAGCTTCATAGTAGAGGGGCAAGGGGCGCACTGGAGAGTTTGGTTTCAGACTTTCATGGCTAGGGCACGCCTAGCCCCGTCTTTTCTCGCTAATGCCAGTGAGCCTTACCTTACCAGATCAGGCTAGTGAAGAAAGCGAAATGTTTGCCAACTCTAGCCCCGAGGCCACCTCGTTCAGGAACCAAACACTCTGGGCAGTGGGCACGTTTGGATTCTCAACTAGGCTTGCCTGGCCTCACTAGCACAAGCTCCAACAACCTTGCCTGCCCGAGCGAGCTGGATTGGCTCTCTGGTTGTAGCAACGATTTTGCTTGCCTACACAAGCCCCTAGGCAGCTAGCTTGTCAACCAAACGTCTATCTCTTCTGTTGTTTCTCACCCAGCAAGGTAAGGTGAGCCCTGGTGAAGGATCCAAACGCCCCCTCCTTCACTCACCTAGGTGAGGCAAGCAGAAGAACCAAACGCGTCCAAAAACCAATGTCGTACTCCTCTACTCTCTAGCATGCCAAGAACTCTATGGTCAATGTGTTTCCAAGCTGCACCTCAGATTTAACATTCTATTTTCCAAAAAAATCATCCCTTCTCCGGTTCTATTATAGCATCTGCTGTTATTTTGGAGATCTCGTAGTTCCAACAGTTCCCAAACCTAACTCTAATAATTTTTTTTTCTCAGTTCATCAAATCATAGCCTCCAACCCCTCAAATAAAGGAGAGACCTCTCCTCCTCAATCCACTATTTTTCACATTAGGGATTGGATATTTTCATTCCGCTAGAGGGAAGACCTTTAAAATTCCAAGACCTCAATCCACTATTTTTCACATTAGGGATTAGATTTTTTTCGATCCGCTAGAGGGAAGACCTTCAAAATTCCATCTCTCCCCAATAACCAGTTTTTTTTGGGTTGAAGTCTCCTACCCTTCATCGTATCGCATGTTACACTGTCTGACCACTCAACCGTTTCCCTTTGCTTTCCATTCTCATGTTTGAGGAAATGGCAGTTCAAACATGATTTAATTTGCTAAAAACAGATTTCCATAGTGCCTTCGCAATGTGGTATCGTGGTGGTATGAAGATCACGCATAATGATTTCATAACTGGTGTATGCTATGGACTGTCCTAATAAAAAGCACCACAGGAAAGTGTAAATTGCACTGCATTCGAGCAGAGCACATACATATTTGTCAAATCAAATAAGAAAAAAAAAGAGAATCGCAACCCAGAGTATAACATGAAACACCATGGAACATGAATATAAACATCAAAAAGGTAACGGCAAAGTAAGCATAAACTCAGCTCTTCATGATTTGCATTAAAACCAGATGACAGCACCATAAACAAAAAATTCAGATGTCCGAATTGCCCACATCCTCATTGGCTCTTCTAGTAAATTGTTCTAATCTCCTAGCAAGCCCCAGATGCAAGCATAATTTTAAGCCCAGGTCCAAACACAGAGTATTACTGAAACATGTTACATCTAGTGCGACTTGACATACTCCTGCACTATGTTAAGGCCCTCAGATTCTTCACCGTAATCCTGGTAATTGAAACGAAACAGTGAAAATGGCATGTTACCTGCCCAGTAAACCAAAAATAATTAATTGTAGTAGGAAAGTAGGTGATTGATATGCTTACCTTGACAACGACACAGGAGCAGCCTACAACCTTCCTTGCCTTGCCCTCAGAGTCAATCTTGCAAAGCTGCAAGGAGTGTAAGTGGAGGTTGTTACGATCAAGGCTCAAGTTCATACAACAGAATACACAGCATAGTGGAAAATGGCATGCTCTAGAAAATTGAAACACATCTGAATGGACTAAAAATAAAATGTAAAGGCTTCACATTTACAGAAAATAGTAAATTTTTCCCTGTCAAACGAAAGTTGGAGCAATGGAAGTCATAAAATGAATGTTAAAATGAGTAATCCAGTGACACTACCTGGGAAGCAACAATAATACTATGTAAAAAATGCACAGGTTTTATACTCAAACTCACCCCAGCCCACTCGCCAAGAGTCTTAGCAGCAGGAACAGTGACCAGGTGAACATTGTGCTCAGCGCAGAGCGCCTTCACCAGCTTGACATAATCAGGCTGGTCACAGTCCTCAGCAAGCACGCAAAGCTGTGCGGCGTGCTTCTCGATGGCCTTGGCAGCCTCACGAAGACCCTTGACAAGTCCATCGTGAGCACTTGACTTCTTCATCACGAGCTGCAGCGCAGTCATCAAGTCCATCGGCTCTCCAAGAACTGGGGTTGGTGCCTCGACCGCGACTGGGGCCTCCTGTTCACTGCCATATCAGAACAATTTGGTGAATCGACAAGGCTGGAACCAAAAGCTTTAAGTACATCAAACAAATTTGCAATGCAAAGCCTATAAAAGTATCAACATATACTGCACACAGATAAAACATTTCAATGCTACTAGTAGTCAGGTATTGGGATAATACAAGCAACAGGACATAGGTCGCAAGCCAGCAGAACTTAAAAGCAAATAAAGTGAAGTTCATTTTTACAGTCTTTGATATGATGATAGTAATAATCTCAATCAATTGAAACAAAACCATTCATCTGTCAGCTGGTTAGATTGGTACACTAAACTACACAGACAAGGCAAACCTGCAGAAAACTAAACCTCAGTTTGGTTTTGTCAGCCTGCTAGCAACTGGAGGCTTGAATTGCACAATTTTCATCAAATCATAAGTTATGAACGCACTTGCAAAACAATCTAATTTCATCAGAGCACAAATGAGCTGAACATGCCTTTATGAAGCTCGACCCAGGGCAGTAGATGTGCCCAATCATCATTCAAGATCGGAAGACCGCATAGTCGCAGGATAATCATTTCATCACAACAGTAGCGCAACTAATCTACCGAGCTATTGGCTATTGCTACTGCTACCCGCGACAGTTCCGGAAAGCACGTATCGAGTAGAACGATTCTAGCGTCATACCAATCCGGAACTGAAATTTCATTAACCAGACCAAGATTCCTGAAACGAGCAAGGAAAAGACATCGGCTGGGGAACTTACGCCATCTTCCGCGCTGTGAAGGGGTCCCTGGCCGGCTGCGAAGGGAGATCTGGAGCAGGCAAGCGAAAAGTCAGTAGCGATTAGTGAGGGAGACGGGAGAAGCAAGAACAAGCTAGACGAGGGGAGCGCGCCGCCACCTGGAGGGAGGGTGGGAGCACCGGGCGGCTGCTAGGGCTTTGGCGTGAGGGTGTGAGACAGGTGGGAGAAGGCGGAATTATAGTGCCGGGCTGCCGGCTGGTTGAGCCGGGCCTTATGGGCCTTCGTGGGTTAAATGTTTGTATGGGCCTTCGTCAGCCCGAGCAAGCAGCTCTCTGAAATATTCCAGCTCTGCTGGCGTGGAGCCTTTTCTTCCTTTTTCTTAGTTCAGCATGGAGCCTTTTTTGTGCGTGGTGACGATCATATTTTATTGGGCTGTACGTAGGGGTATTTTTGTCATCTCATATGAATCTTATTTTTTCCCCAAACTTTATAATTACGTTTAGCTTAGGATGAAAAAAGTATGTATTTATAATGGTATAAATTTGTTTGTTCGTTTGTTCGATTGTGTATCGACAAATTGTCAGTAAATAAATTTTATCTATAATAAAAATGGAACATGCTTCAATACAAAAGTTATGAAAAAAAATAAATAAAGATGATAAACAAATCAAAGGAGACAAGATATAGTACAAGAGAATAATCCATCTATCTATATTGTCACGAAAAATAAGTGTTCACATTACAAAGAACAAAACAACGTAACTTATTCTCTATTCTTCTTGTTAGTAATAGTTTGTTGGTCTGGAGAAAGGATATTGTTCTCAATGTACACTTATGATGTTATAAACATAGTGGTGTTAAGTGGTAACCAATTTCATACTGTGTATCCTAACAAATGACAATAGTGAAAAAAGAAGCATGTCTATTATTCATATAGTAAGATCGATACTCAAAACAACAGTTAGTATGGAAAGATATAGGCACTTTGTTTTCTTGCTAGACTTGGGTCTACAGCTCGACACCACAACATTAACCAGACAACAACATAAAGAAGCAATCCACGTATGATGGTAACAGCATAACCTCTAGCAATGACAAGAAATATCGAGCATGGCATAAGGTTAAATAGTACAAAAGGATATATGTTGCTGCACCAAACATAGACTCCATACGTTGAGCTCGTGGCATAAACCAAACATAGGAGAAGTAAGGCATGACCTAAAAGTTGTTGACAGTGCAATACGTACTTCAATAGAAGGCTGATGAAGTCATAAGTTCAATAGTAAGATATGGAAGTAAAATGGACCAAGAGAATATAGATTAAGTTGTTTAAAATCCAACCTTTATACGTACTATACTATTCCAGTTTTTATTAAAAATAACAAAATATATATCAATGAAGCTTTTGCATCTTGTAAGGAAAGCTTGAGGGTCATCGGGCAGTACATCCACTAGGGGTGTTGTCAGGAATAAGCAAACCAAATAAAATTTAAAATTTATTAACTTGCATTATTACTATTCTCTTGTCCCTCAAGGACTGAACTGAAGCTACCTCAAGAGTCAAGACGCATAGCCACATATTGTTGAGGCTCCAAATTGAATAACTCCATACAATGTGTCCATGAGCTAAGTCCTAAAAAGATCAATTACAACAGACCCAATAAGGATGAAAGTATTTTTTATAACAAATACTAGTACTGAGTCTATTGGAATAATTTTTTTCTTGGAAACGCCAGTAACCTCCTAACCAAGGAGTGTGACGAGTAACAAATTGCATGTTGCTGCTTCTGTCCTACAAAAGAAACAACAAGAATGATAATGAAGCCGTAAGGGATAATGAAGTCGTAAGGGATAACAAATGCAATAGTTTCAAACTTCCATTATATTAAGCAATCATATACTACAAGAGGCACCAAATACAATGGTCTTCTAGTGTCTAGATTTACTCCTAGATAAAAGTGACAAAACAATGGTAACACAAATTACAAGTGGCTTCACACATGTTTTGTTAGTTGCCACAATTGTTCTTGTTGTCTTGATTCAGTTTAGAAGATCAACATTTTCTCCTAATAACATGCACACAACCAATTCTTATTGGACTCAGTTTCTAGAACATCCTGCAAAAGGAGAGCAACATATCACCTTTTGTAGGATCTCTGGTACGCCTAGAGAGGGGTGAATAGGCCTGTAAAAATTCAACTCAAACCGAAGTCAAATTCATCCGCGGCACTGTCGCTCTGTGAGCGCGGCACTGCCGCATCTGCAGGAGAGATTAGTTCACAGTTCAAAATCTACCCAACAAAATTTAGATCGGGTAAATTTCTTAGCTTCCTACAGGGTAGTAGATCACAGACCGACAGCTGAAAGTGGTGGGAACACCACACACAAGTAGATCGGCCTCAAACTCTAGAAATCACCTCAACAACAACAAGAACACAAGTGTAGCAACACAAGCACAAGATGACACAAGGATTTATCCCGTGGTTCAGCTCGCCACTAAGGCTTGCCTAAGTCCACATCGTTGAGGTATACCACTAAGGCTTTAGGGCTTTGTAACCCTACCTCATTCTCAAGTCAAGAGAGTGAACTCTTGAGATCAGGAGTGATTTTACTCGCTGCAAGAGGTGGTTACAAACCTCTCAGGGCTGCCACACAAGTTGGCAAGCTCCACAGGCGACGCTCTAGCCGGCTAGGAGTCAAGCTCCAACAGTAATAAACACAACCGCCAGCTAAGACGTAAACCAAGTGCTCTTTAGAGTTTGGGAATCAATGGAGCTGCTCTCTAATCGAGTTTTGGACCCTTATCCCTCAAGCATTGATAGGAAAATCAATGGATTTGCTTTGGGGCTTGAGATTAACAATGAAGTAAGAGAGAGAGCTCATGCTCTGTTTTGGGCGTGTTAAAGTGACGAAGAAGAGAGCAGATTGGTTACCGTTGGAAAGGAAGGGGAAAGGTATATATACCCCCAGCCCCCAACGATCACTTTAAATCATAGATAGCCGTTGGTGAGGAAAGGAAAAGATATATATACCCCAGCCCTGAATGGACACCGCACCCAAGGGGTCGGGCGAGACAAAGCCTGCGACCTTGGGGTCGGGCGAGGCGGATCCCACGACCCTGGGGTCGGGCGAGGCGGATCCCGCGACCAAGGGGTCGAGCGAGCCGGATCTCGCACCTAATGGGTCAGGCGAGCCGGAGCTCGTACCCAAGAGGTTGGGTGAGACGGAGCTCGTGCCCAAGGGGTCGGGCGAGCCGGAGCCCGCGACCAAGGGGTCGGGCGAGCCTCTCTTCAAGTGCGGCAGTGCCGCACCACGCAAGACAGCAAGGGTAATAGTGAAGTGTAGACTGTCTTGGCTGTGAATCTGAGGATGCATGTGGTTGTTTGAGCGCTTGGTAGCACATATTAGCTTAAGCATTGTGCCCCCTTTATAGTACGGCTTTTTCTATACTCAAATTCAATATATAAAAGAATTTAAACCTCCTTTGAGTTTGAAGCCATCTATATTTGTAATTGGGGGCTCCTCCATTACATGTAGCATCCTCGAATATAAATTCCCTGCTTGTCATCTCGATAAATCTCATTAGTTCTCTAATTGTGTGGTCATTATCACCAAAACCCATAATTAGGGTTTGATTGCACTTTCAATCTCTCCCTTTTTGGTGATTGATAACAACCCAATTAGAGTTTACAAAAGATATGAAATAAATACTGAGATTTTCGAGCCATAGGTGTAGAGCCTCCCCTTAAGTATGTGAATAGAGAATTAAATTCTCAAATTGGCATAAGAAGTTAAGATTTATATTTTAGTGAAAGTGATGGGGCTTCCCCTACATTCATGCTCCTGTGGGGTGCTGCATACTGTGTCAGGTATGAAAAACATGATGCAAATGGCAGTTTATGCACACATGTGCTTGCTGCTGCCGCTAAGTGCGGCACTACCGCACCTGACTGTACGAGCAAGACAGAGTCAAGCACCACACAACTAGCTCAGATAAAAAAGATATGCAACCTAGCACAATAAAATGACTTCTAATCCACACAAACGATACATATCCAATACACAAAGAGTCAAATAATAGCATTATGTCACAATTTAGAGTTTGAGCGACTCTTAAACTTTTCACCTAGCGAAGACTAACACTCATCGAATATGACATGAAGCACAACTGCTGACCATGGCGTCTAAAAGTTGTTGACCCCTCTAATTTTCTCCTCCTTTGGCATAAAGCACCAAAAAAGAGAAGAAAAGAAGAAAGATCAACACCTACTCGTCATCTCCCTGTATGTCCGTCCAATCAATATCATCACCTCCTACAGCCCTAGCACCTCCTGCAGTAGTCTCGGCACCACCATCACCATCATTGTCATCATAGTCAATATGTGCACGGTCCTGACGGTGAGTAGTGGCAGTGTAGCGAGTGGAATGAGTGGAACGCCTTGGCTCCTGTCTCTAACAATATCCCTCCAGGGTCTCATCCTAATCTGCTGCTCGTCCCTGTTGCTCCTCATCCTCATCATCATCCTCATCATCTGAATCTGTGTTGGAGAGACTCGGAAGGTCATACTGTGGAGGAGATGAGATAGGAGGAAGTGGTGGAAGGTCCTATCCACGCTGCTGACGCTGCTCAAGCTATGTCGCATACGCTCCGTCAGCTGCATGGTGCACTTGTCGAAGATTGCCTTCAACCACTTGTCAAACTTCTTCATCTTGCCTCCTTTGCGAGACCTAGAGTGGGAAGACTCAGGGATATCTACATGAGCATGAGAGCACCCCGCTCCCTGAGTAGCTGTAGCTGGCTGGGTCCTCTCAATTTTGTAGACGGTGTGCATCCCATCCTTCGGAAAATAAAATCCAATGGCCCTCTCAATCATGAACATGAGGTAAGGGGCATAGGGCAGCCCACTCCTTCCATCCTCCACTATAAATCTCAACTCAGTCCACATGAATCTAGGGACATTGAACCTGTCCCCACCTAGAGCAAATCTAGCCAACATATTTCTCACATAGCCATTAATATCTGTGG